AAAATAAAAATGGAGGTTGCAGTTGTGTCATGGCAACAGCTTCCAGAAATCATCCTGGCTCTTGGCCAGAAGAAGCGCAGCTGGAATTTCTCCTGATGCTGTCAGGACCTGGAGCACTTCCCAGCTGCACACGGTGCCCATCTGCAGAGCTCCTCTCTCTTTAGCTATCCCTCCCAGCCATGTTTGAGACACAGCCGCCTCGGAGCAGTGTGAGTCACCCAGTTAGGTGTGTGCAGCAGTGCTGTGTCGGGACAGGAGCAAGATGACAACATCTGCCAGAAGAAATGCCAGGAGGTATCTTGAGAGGCAGCACCTGGGGGCTCTAGGGCGAGCTGAACTTGAGCACTTTGAAGAAGAGCTTATCTTTATGGGGAAGTCGCTGTGGGACAGGCAGAACCATGTTTCCAGCTGTTACTAGCCCCAGGGCATGGACATGGAGCAAGGATTCAGTTACAGACAGTGCCCTTTTTTTGCTGCTCTTTCAGGGCAGGAGGAGCCCAGCGCTGGGGGCTGAGGTGGTCCTGTTCTAGAGACACGTTCCTCCTGCACTCAGATGTCCTCCACTCTGGGACAGGAGAGGGCTGCCTGCTCCTCACTGCTGCAGCTGAGGTCTCCCAGCCCCGTGCCATGGAAGGATGATGGGGTGCCCTGTGAGATGGGGCTCTGCTTCCCTGCCACTGGGCATGGTGGTGGCTGTGGGCTCCAGTTGTGTTTGGGAGGGGAGCTGAAGGGTGTTGTGGAACAGGCAGTGAACGTGCCCATGTAGGATGCTTGCTGTCCTCCCTGTGGTACCAGGCTCTGCTCCTGCAGTCCTACAGTGTTGCGTTGTGCATCTCAGCCCGTGGCTCTCCATCGGCTGGGTCAGGTGAGGTCCTCCCCATTCTCGCACCAAGTAGTGAGGGATGGAGGGAAAGGCGCTGGCTGTGATGGCATGGCACAGGGCAAGAGGGTTTGGGAAATGGGGATGTCCTCTTTGAAACCCTGTTCTGGGGCGTCAGCCTTCAGGGGAACAGGGGGAACCTTCTGGCTCTGTGTGACAAGTAGGCAGCTATGTGGTGGGTGGAGTATGGGTGTTACTGCCCCAAATGATCCCCTGCCCCTCTAGCTTTCCCAGCTCCTTGACGTCTCCTCTTCTGTACCACGTTTTGTGTAACTCCCAAAAGAGCTGAACTACTCTGTGGGCCTCTTATACCCAGCTTTACTGTTTAATAAAGAACAACAGTGAATCTTGGCCCTTTTTGCTGCCTTATGTTTATTTTAATATAAAAGGCCCAAGCATGCCAAACAAAAAAAAGGACAGAGAGGACTTTACTGGTTTCTTGTTGGCTCTAGCTTTGGAGATATTGGTTGCTGGGAGCACTTGTGTAGTCCAGCTTGACTGCCACGAGAAGGCATCCAGCACCAAATGTCTGTTGGGAGCTTTTGTGCACTATAATTGTGTAATTGCTAGCGGAAGCGCTAGCAAAGGCATCCTGCTGCTGATTGCTCATTACCCTCCAAATTTAATGGTCTCTAATGGAACAGGAGTTTTAAGCAATCAGCCTAAAAATCCCTTTTTGGTTATTGCGGGCTGCTGCTGTTGTTCTGTGAGATGGCATCAGCTCACCCACTGCTGGTGACCTGCTGCTGGTTGCCTGCAGCAGCAGGGCATGGCTTTGCAGTGAAGCCCTGCCCTGCTCTGTGCAACATCCACCCTGTTAGCAGGACTGTGGAGCCTCTCCCAGCTCAGGGAGTAGTGGGTGGGGATGCAGGACGGCCTGCCTCCCCCTTCCCAGGGCACCTCCTAGCTTTGACATAGTGGCTTTCCAGCCCTGGGAGAGTTGGGCACTTGGCACTGAAGAAAGATGGTTCATAGAGGGGACTAAACCAGCTTGGTGGCTGTAATACCATCTGAGGGCTGGAAATCTCAGCCCTGCCACTGAAGAGCATGGTGAGCATCCAGGGAAAGATATGCTGCTTCTGTGGCACCACCCGCAGCATTACCCCCAGCTTCAGCTCCCTGTGCCTATGCAGAGGTTTGCCACGGCTCCCTTAAAGCGCCCCTTTGTCTTGGCCGCTGCCCTGCAGGGATGTTCCTGGCGCTGCCACACAGCGGGAGATGCCATGCAATTGCTCAGCCCCAGCTGTGAGGGACTTTAGCGTTTGTAGGCTGTAATCAGGCAAGCAGGCTGCTGAGGGTTGGAGTGGCAGAGGCACAGCGTGATGGGGCTCACACAACCTCCTTGGGTTGTGATGAGCTCCCCGGCACAAAGGCTTGGAGAGCTGCGAGCCAGGGGGGTCAATTATAGCTCTCGCTCACAGCCGAGGCTCCTGCCTCAGCTCCCTGGCGCCAGCAAGGCCCTGCATTTAGCCCTGTTTGCTACTAATTATGAACCATGGGGGGAGCTCTGTGGGAGGTGTGTGATGAGGGAAGTTGATTTCTAAATTTTTCACTTTTTCACCCAAAGGGAAGCCCTCCCCATCTCCCTTGCCCCTTGCTGTAAGCCAGGCTGTCTGGGCAGAGCTCATCCCCAGGGAGCTGTGGAGGGGCTGGCAGGAGGGACCCACCGAAGCCAGAGGGAAATCACTCAAGTAGGGTGTAAAGAGTGTGTTTTGTGAGGGAGGAGGGGAGCCAAAGAGTGCTGTCTGCTCAAAATGTAGAGAAAGGCTGCCAAAATAGTGTTCACCTCCTTCCCTGAGACTTGCTGGTGGGTAGCTTAGCTTTGAGAACCTGTGCTCCACATGGGATATGTCCCCTTGCTGCCCCTGCTCCTTGCTGCGGTCCCAGAGGAGCTCTAGGCCACCCTCCTGCTCCCCACAGGTAATGTGTTCCCCTTTGGCGGTGTCCTGAGCCACCCCTGCTGCAAGGTGAGAGCTGGCAGAGGGTGGGCAGGAGAGGGACACTCCTGTCCCACAGCTGCACCCCATCCCCAGGGCCAAGGCTGTGCCAGCCTTTCCAAGGGGACACAGCAAGGTGCTCCCCTGCCTTTGCTGCTTCTACCCAACTTGTTTAAGGTGTTTTCATGGGGACCATGGTGGGCAGCAAGGTGCCTGGAGGTGGGGAGGTATCCCAGTGGTCTCCTTGCCCCTGAAGCCTCTATAGGACATCGCCAGGAAGGGCCAAAAGCAGCATGGCAAAGGGGCTGGGGTACTTCCACAGGCTCCAGGAGGGAGGGTCCTCTCTCTCCTGGTGCCATGCAGGACGTGCGGGTGGTGACGACGCCAGGCAGTGGCTGGGTGAAGTCATTTTATTCAAGGCACGGTCATAGCAATAAATCACAAGAAGGTACAGACCTCTGGCACATTCCTACAGTGGGGCATCCAAGGGCAATCAGACCGGCAGCCCGAGATCCCAAGGACGTGGTTCCGCTTGCAGGCACTTGCTTCCACCCAGAAAGACACCACCAGCATCCTCCCAGCTCCAGCCGGGGCTGGTCCTGGAGCAGCCAGCAAGGGCAGCCCTGGGGCACCTGGGCAGGGTGCCACAAGCCCCCCCCAGGATGCTTTTTTAGGGTTGATAGGGAACAGCTGAGCTTAAGTCTCCCTGAGGCAACTGGCTCAGTGGCTGGCACAAAAAAAGCATGCAGGAGCGTGGGTGGGTTGGGGACCATAGGGTGCCAGCTGGCCAAGCTGAGACCCACCAGCCCCACAGGGATGTCCTAGGGCCCACTTGAGTCCAACAGAGCCCCACAACTCACTGCTGGGCTGCCTTTTAACCCCCTCTGCTCAACACTGGCACACCGTTCCCCTCCTCGCCTCCCCACGCCAGCAGCACCAGTGATGCTGAGTGGTGCCATGGCCAAGGATCTGCCTTCGCACAGCAGCACTCCCTACACTGGCAACCCCAGTGCTGGCAAGGCTGCAGCTTCACCCCTTCCCTCCCTGCAGGGCCCCAGGAGGGCAACTAGAACTGCTCTGAAACCAGCAACAAAATCAAGAGCAAGAAAATCAACCCCAAAGCCAAAGCGGGGCCCAGCAAGGAGCCAGCACGCCCAGGAGGGATCTGCCCTTGTCCGCAGGGGCCTCCACAGCTGCTAGATGAGCTGGAAAACCCCAGGGATGCTGCTTGGGCAGAGGCTGCCGCATTTCCACTGACCACAGTGGGACTCGCATTCAAGAGGTGGTGCAGCTGCTGGGGAAGCATCCCACGGCGGTGGCTTGTGGGCAAGGGCGGGATGCGGTGGACCAGGACCTGATGGCTGGGGTCCCACCAGCGCCCTACACCATTTCTGTTGCGATGGGATGGAGCCATGCAGGGTCCCATGGGCAGCCCCAGGGAGAGAGCGAGCATGAGGGGACTGCTGCTGAGGGGGAGCGGGACGATGGGGAGCTGCTACCACAACTATTAAGCTCATCCCTCAACATCCTGCTCCTCCTCAAGGACCCAAGGGTGCAGGCATGGTGCAGTGGTGGCGGCAGGATGAGGCGGGAGGGCGAGGAGGAGGCAGGCTTGCATTTTGATGCCTGCCTCAGACGTGTTACATCCCTGGGCACACACCTCCTCCACTAAAGCACAGGTGTCACAGCAGCACCTGCTTTCATGGGCAAAGCCTTGGGGGCAGCAGTGGGGAGAGGGAGAGTCAGGCAGGAGCCTGCAGGGAGGCAACAGGATGGCCGCTGCTAACAGTGAGTGGGAAGCAAGGGTTAAGGGTGGACACTGAGGATCCATGGGACAGCATGGCGGTGGGCACATTCGTCTGGGCTGCTTTCCCCTCACAGAGGGGCCAGGGCCTCCCTCCTGCCCACACCACTTCACCCCCTTCCCCACAATGGGCTGGAAGAGGCAGGTGGGGACAGAGGGGCACAGGGAGGGGGCTGAGCCGGTCCAGGCAGCGGGAGGGACCGGCAGAGCCTCCCCACACCTCCCATGCAGTGGGGTCTCCCCCTCACATCAGTCCTGTCATCTCCTCACCCCACTCAGTGAGGTGGCCCCCACCAGTGCTGAGAAGGCTCCTTCCTGCCTCCCCCAGCACGTTCCCCGGTCTCAGTACAGCCGGTCCTCGCCCCAGCAGCAGGGATGCTCACTGGTAGCGGGCCTGGCTCTCCATCACAGGGCCACTCCTATACTCGCCCTCCACTGTCTCCAGCTCCGTCTCAAAGCTCTGCAGCCCCCCGTCCTCTCCATCCTCTGCTGGCTCCAGGTGGTTGCCCATGGTGCCATAGGACTGGTGCGCTGGGGAGGCCGCTGGCGTCAGGCTCAGCTCAGGCTCCTGCAGGACGGTGGCCACGAAGAGCTGCCCCAAAGGGCAGCAGGGGGTCAGGGCCCAGGGAAGAAGGGCAGGGGCCGCAGCAGGGCTGGGGAGGGGTACTCACATTGGAGTTGGGGGTGGAGGAGACACTGCTCCGCTCCACATCGTTGAAAATGCCCTCAGACTGGTCAGACATCTGGGGAGAGGGAGGCCAGGAGGAAAAAACTGTTTGGGGATCCTCAGCCAAAGCTGGGGGTGCAGCGAGGCACTGCCTCAGACTCCCCACGGCAAACACACCCCAGAAAGGTGAGAAGGGAATGCAGCGGGGTGAGGGAACAGAACAGGCAGCCACCTACACTCACCTGGTAGCTGGAGGGTTTCCGTGGCTGCAGCTTCTTCAGGCAGAGGCCAAAGAAGGAGAAGACGATGCAGCAGAGGAGGACCACAAAGGTGAAGAGGGTGACAGGGCGGGTGGGACCTAGAGCACAGAGACACTGGGCAGCACATGAGCCTCCAAGGACCCACTGCACATCCAGCTGAAACTCAGACTGGCACCCGCTTTGGGTCTTACAAGCTCTCAACATAATTCCCAAAACACTAGGTCACACTCCTGTCATCTGCCACGTCTCCAATGCACCTTCCCCCTTCCCTTTCCACCCTCCATGCCTGGCTTGTCCCCCAACCAAGTGTCAGATATGGCAGCCCCGAGCTCTCCCTACCAAGGCGCAGGACGGAGAAGAAGAGCAGCCAGAACATGCAGAGGATGGGCGCCACCACGACCTGGCTGATGGCGGCAACGTGGAGGCGCTGGTTCAGCTTGGTGGGGATGTACACGTAGTAGATGTTGTACCGGTCGACCATGTGTTTGAGCAGCATGTAGAGCAAACCTGGTGGGAAGACAGGGAACATTTGGAGGGAAGACAATGAGGACAGCCAGGTCATGGGGACAGCGGAGCAGACCCAGGAGATGATGTCCAAGGGTGCCCTCCTGTACCATGCAGGAAGCTCGTGCTCCTGTGCCTCTGCTGCTGGCTGGGACAGGTTGTTCTTGGCATGGCTGGGGGCAGTGGGACCAGGGGCATGGGATGGTACTCACCGAAGGGGACAATGATGGGGCAGGTGATGCTGTAGGTCATGACGACAGAGAAGATGCAGCATGTCCAGGCGTACTCCAGCCCAAACTGAAACTGGTAGGCTTGGCTCTGGGGCACAACCAACAGTGTCATTACTGCCTGTGCTGCTGCAAAGGCTGTCCTTGCCTCTGCACCCTGGCTCACATGACTGACTCCTCCTCATGGCCCATGAGGCCAGGGCCAGCAGCGCCCCTCACATGGTGGCTTCTCCCCACAAGCCTCTCCACAGGAGCAGGACAGACTGAGTTTCCAGCAAGCAAGTCCTTGCTGTGCCAGGGATCGCATATGCTCGGAGGTAACCACAGCCACGTACCCGCTTGATGTGGAGCCGCTCTGGCTCGGACTTGGCAAAGCAGAGGCGGGTGGTGTAGACAAGGAGGCCTGGGATGCGCAGCAGCTCCATGGCTGTCCCGATCAGGCTGGAGGTGACCACGTAGTTGACGAAGAAAGCGCCGTTGTCCGGGAGGAAAACACACCTGGCCCAGGGACATGGAGGGTGAGAGGATGCTTGGGCAGGTGGCCAGGAAAGCTGCTAGGGGCTGGCATTGGGCACTCCGGTCCACTTGGGAGGTTCGGGAGCTCCCTGCTACTCACTGGAACTTGATATCGGCCTCATCCAGAAAGTGGGTGTCAAAGAGCCAACGGAAGAAGAGGTCCAGGCTGGAGTAGGGAGAGGAAGAGCAGCTCAGAAAGAGGGGAAGCTGCAGAGCAACATGGGGATCACCCAGTTGACATGTGCTTTCCCCTGCCCTTGGGTGGGCCCTACGCTACCAGAGCAGCCCCATCTGCCGCATGGGACCACCACAGTGTGGGTGATTGCCCCCACGGCTGGTCAGGCTTGCTGGAGCCAGGATTACACAGATACTTGACCTGGCCCTTTCAGGATCTGCTGAAGGGTTGACCCCCAAGCAAGACACCCTTAGGACATCTGTGGCAACCTGGCAAGCTGTACCACTTCCCTCCTCCTCCACAGGGAAGCTTTATGTCCATGACCACCAGGGAGCAGCTCAGCATGGCTAAAAAGCAAGTGTTTCCCTCTCCAGAGAGCCTGGTTTCAGCGGTGATGGTGGATCCTGAGCCCTTTGGGGCTAACTTGCAGGAGGTGGGAGGTCCAAGTGTGGCAGGGTGGTCCATACCTGCTCAGCCCTAGCGAGGGCAGGATGATGACCATGAACACCAGGAAGAAGAAGCACTTGTGCATGGTGAGCTGATTTTCACTCGACCTGGGGAGAAGGGAGGCAAGAGAAGAACATTGCACTTTTCCAAGGCAGAGCAGCTGGTGGGGGGAGAGGCTGGGCTGGGTCTTGCTCTTCACCAAGGAGCCACTCCCAACCTCAGGAACCCACACGCATTTTGATCTGTACATCTACTGGGGCCTTGCAAAGCCTCTGTGAGGTCAGGGCGGGGAGTCACCATGAGGAAACACCTGTAGTGAAAGCTCTTGTCCTCCCAGCCTCTCACCTCCTTCATCACTACCCTCTCCCACCTTCTCTGCTGGTGCTCACACCCAACAAAAGGCAGCTGGGTGTCTACAATGGGTTCAGGAGCTCCTGTTTCCCCTGGGAGAAGGAAGGGAGGTGGTGACAAAGCTGCTACAAGGACTCAGAGGATCAGGCACAGGGGCAAAGCTTCCTCTGCTAGGAGACTTTGAGCATCCCGAACCCATACCTCTGTCTTTGAGGGCTGGGAGTATGGTTGGGATGTGCCACCCGAGTCAGGGCCATGGCCCTGCTGCGAGTCCCCCATCATACCATCCTTTTCACAAATTTCTTCAGACTCATCTTAAAACCAGCTCCACCTGCCTCTGTCAGCAGCCTGGACATGTGCAGGGCTATGCCAAGGAAAAGGCTCCTTCGGGCATGGACCTGGGGCTTTTTCCATGGAGGGCGACATCCATGGGGCTCTGTGGGGGTCTGCCACTCCACTGCCTGTCTCCATGCAGGTCGGGTCCCACGAGTCCTACTGAGGTCCCTCCCATCCACTGCAGCCCTGGGGGAGCGCAGGGACCAGCCCCGTTACCTCGTCCAGTGCGACTCGATAGACAAGGAAGGGCAGGAAGACGGAGAAGGCCCAGAGCAGCAGTGTGGGGAAGAACTGGGTGATGATGGGGTTCTGCAGGAGGAGAGATGCCAGACACCCCTTCAGGAGCCTGCTGGAGCTCAGCCATGCTGGAGGCAGCTCCTTGAGCCTCCTGGTGCAGGAGGGTGTGTGCAATGGCCAGGCTGGGGCATCCCCTCCCTCAGCAGGGATGTTTGTTTCAGGAGATAAGAGCTAGAGGCCAAGCAAAGGCACCATGGGCACGCTCTGAGCCCCAGCGCCTGCCCAGGGGACCTCACAGGTCAATAAGTAGGAAGGAGTTGTGCTGCTGGCAGCTCCTAACATTTCCTGCTCTTCCCAACATTCTCCTGCTGCATGTACACAAACCTGCCCTCCCCTATGGACACCAGCACCAAAGCTCAGGTTTTCAAAGGTGCCCCAGGGCTCTGCCACTGGAAACACAACAAGGGGATGGATGGCAAGTGGGGCCATGACCACTCCTTGCCTCCCATCAACACCCATCCCAGTGATGGCTCATCTTCTTGGGTCAATGTAGAGCCGGTACCCTCCCGCTACCACGGACGAGCCTGGAAATGGAGCCCTTTTGGGAAAGCTGCCACAGGGCCCCAGGGACTACCTTGAGGTTCTCCACAGGCTGTGTGACGTTGAACAAGTCCATGGTGTTCACAATGATGGCTGGTGTGGTGAGGAAGAAGAGAAGGACGAAGAGGCAGATATTAAGGAGGATGAACCGCACCCACCAGGATGTGCCACGGACAGATAAATTCTCCCTGTGAGAGGGAAGCATGAGTCGGACACGGTGTGAAGGAAAAGCCATGTGTTCTGGGCCTCCCTGTCCAGCTCCCCACAGCTCTGCTCCCACTGTCAACACCAACCATCCCAGCAGCCACTGGTCTGAGCTCGTCCTCTCCCCCAGTCCATGCTGCTGCGCTGGCACCTGCAGAGCCTCCAGGACCAGAGAATGGCTGCAGCAGGCATCTGTACCACCAGGAGCCCTTGGAGTCAGGCTGGAGAATTTGGAGCCTGGCAACCACCCCAAACCTCACCTGGCCAAGTCCTGGCCACTCGTGAGGTGATCACCCCAGCCACCACTGCTGAATTCTGCTATGGCCACGGAAGAGACTGTCACCCCTGCCACCCTGGGAAAGAGCCCCATAGATACGGGCACAGGTTCCCTACAGTTACATGTGCTCCCTGTATCTATGGACATGGGTTCCCTATCCATGGGCATGGGTTCCACCCAGCTGTTTGCCTCCCTGCCTCCCGCCACAGGGGTTCACCAGATGATATCACTGGGTGCAGGGGCATAGCGAACGCCCCAGTGGTGTGACTTGACCACGGTGGTGACAGAGGACTGCTGGGGGTGCTTGCGGCAGCGGATGTGGCTGTAGTCCTTCAAAATCCTGCAGGAGGAGAGAGCCAGGGGTCAGATCCATAGCAAGGGCTCAAGGACCCACCCTTCATTCTTGTGAGACCCTTTCTGCAGCCCCAACAGAGCAGCCATCTCCGCAGATGGCAAAGGCACAGAGAAGACAGACCCATCATTTGGCTTGGGCTGGAGAAGGTGGCAAGGTGCCCCGGTTCCCCAGCAGTGGTGGCCATCAGGCTGGGGGATGTCCCTGTAACCTGCTGCACGAGGGGCACTCACACAGCCGTCATCCGCTCATCCTGGAAGGTGACGAAGGCCATGTCAAGCCGTTTGAGCGTGATGCGGTTGCGCTCAGCATTGAACTCGTCTGTGAGCTTCTCCTCCAGCTCCCCATAGTACTGCTCAGCATCCACCTGTGGGAACAGCCAGGGCTCTGCCACGCTGGCCAGGCTGCAGCGTGGGCAAGCTGCCGTGCTCTGCCCTGCCCACCGTGGGGATGTGCTGCCTGCAGCCCTGCCTGCACCCACCCACCTGCTCAAAGCCACAGAAGCGGCAGCAGAAGATGCGGGCGCAAGGGTGGGTTTTGATCATGATCTTCCCCTCTTTCTGAGCCTTGGTGGTGAAATAAAGCCGGCCCTTCATTGCCTTGCGCCTGCCAGGAAGCCAATAGGGACGAGTGTCATTCGTGGAGCAGCAGAGAGAAAGACAGACTGGGTCCCTCAACATGCTGGGCACCCACCCGCAGAGGACCTGCACGCACTCACCTCTCTGCATCCAGCTTCATCAGCTTGCGCACGTCGAAGCAGAACTGGACATTGGTGACAGTGCAGCTGGGATAAGCCTCGCTGCGGGCACAGGGACACAGTGGCACTGGGAGCCAGGGGACAGGGACAGGCCCTGCCACCTGCCTGCCAGCCGCCTGGTGAGGCTGCGGCACAATGCTACTCACTGGAAATGCTTGATGATAAGGGAAGGGTCTGTGATCTCCTTGGGGATGTGGGTAACCATCAGTGTCCGGGCAACCTGGGGGAGGAGAAGAGGCAGAGAGGGTGGGTGGCCAGGTTGTCTGCAGGACATCTTGCTTCTGCCATGCTCACCCAACACCTGGGCCGGCAGAAGCAAACCAGGGCACTGAGTGCCACCCCAGAGCTCCTCAACACCCACTCCCAGACCCCAGGGGTGCTGCCACCTCCCAGACAGATGGACACAGCAGAACTTGGATCTCAAGAGACAAGGCAGCAAGGGAGAAAGATCTGCCTCTCAGCTGCCAGGCTTTCTCCACATACTGGAGAAAACCAGCCTTATCTTTCCCTGCTTGCCCAGTCGCTGTTTCTAAAGCTCCCTCTACCTATTGGCACCATCCTTTCTGCAAAGCACAAAGTCGTCCATTAGTGCTGAACAAGACAGGGCTGGAGGAAGGGTGGTTGCTCACCTTTTCGTTTTCTCTGTATTCCAGGTGGACAGAGTGGTGAGCCATGCAGAGGACGGTGAGGATGAAATAGATGAGAGCAAAGATGCTGTGCAGCCATAGGAGACGGTCTCTGGAGGGGAAGCCAGGATCAGTGAGCACTGTGCCTGGGCACTCCCAGCAGCGCCTGCTGTTGCAGCAGTGCCCACAGTCCCCCCAGAAATGAGAGCCACATACTGCGTCGGGATGTTAGCGATGGTTGTTCGGCCAAAGTGGGTGGGATTGTGTCCTGCAGGTAAAGAGAAGCTGGAGGTTGCAGTAACCCCACGCAGTGTGTCTCCATGCTTCCAGGGTCAGTAGCCCTGGTCTTTGCTCCCTCCTTTTCCATCTCCCAGGTTCCCATCAAGCCCCCACCACCCTGAAGCTCCCTCCTCCTCCTCTTGTGTTCCTCTGTCCCACAGCTGATGGTGGGTTCCTGGTCGCATGGGGGGCTCCTGACAGAGGGGTCCTTCTGCCCTCTGTCCCCAGAGCAAGGTGCTTGGTCTGAGGATGGGGAGCTTGTGCCATGCTCCTGAGCCATCCCACAACTGGGGAAGTACTTACCTAGGAGGTCTCCCGAGAAGTTGACGGGCAGGATGACGGCCACGGAGAGCACACAGACTAGCATCAGCAGGACCAGGAGGTGCCGCTGGAAGGAGAGGTAGGTGGTGGCATCGATCCCACACTTGCTCTGAATCTCCTCATCCCTGGGAGAGAAATGGGTGGAAGTGAGTGCTGGTGATGCCTCCCCACCACCTCCCGCCCCAGGGACACTGGTTGCTCCAGCCTCACACAACCCATGCCAGCTCATGGCATCCTGCCTGTGGCACATGGGAGTTTGGCACAGAGGGAATGGAGGACACAAGCAACCCTCAGACTTCCATCCCATTACAGGACCAGGTCCTACCAAAAGAGGTTGAAACCCATTCCTTTGGGACGAATGCCAGGAGGAAACACAGAGGTGGGCCCTCTGCTCTCTCTCCCAGGGGAATTTTTTTAGCAGGGCTCCCCTCAGCTGCTGGTCACAGCAGCTCTGGGTGATGCGTGCCGACCTATGGGCACTGGCTACCCAGGGACAGGCAGCGGAGGGGCACGGCTGTGATGCTGAGGACACTCACTTACTTCATCTGGTAGATAGAAATGAGCCAGGAGCAGAATCCCTGGAAAGGAAGAGAGTCAGGATGAGCCAGGGGTGACCACCCTCATCTCCCTAGCGAGGTGCCAGGACATGGCACACACTGGGGATGTGTGCGGAGACGATGCAGTGCCTGGGGTCAAGGAGCTGAGCAAACAGAGGCAGTGCCCAGGGCAGCTTGACGATGCTTAGGCCAGTGACTTGTCTGCAGTGGTGGCCAAAGGCAGCTGCTTGGGAGGAGCAGGAAACACACGGCATCTCTGTAACACAGGCTCCCGGCTTCCAGCAGCTCCCTCCACTGCACCTCCCCTGGCAGTCCCTGCCATGCAATGCACTTCCCGACCACTACCGAGCGCTGAGCCTGCACTGCTGTAGAGCCACATGCAGCAACACCGTTGTAATGTAATACCTTGTCACCGTATGTGCAATATTAGAGTTTTTCTCCCCTATGCATTATGTTACATTTTACCAACACTGGACTTCATGCAAGTACAAGGTCTCTCTGCAGTCTTCCCTGTTGTGGCTGTATTGAACAACACTCGACCATTAGCCGCCCCCCCCCACCGCCTTCTTTCCAGAGGGTTTATGCTGACCTTGGATGGGAGGGATCCCAGGCAGATCACTGGGGATTCCCTTACCCTGCCCTGTGAGACCTGGCAGCTGTTTCCTCCTCTCCATTCCCCAGTTTTACCCAAGCCAGGACCTTCCCTCCTACCCCACAGCTCAGCTTCATCTGATCAACCACAGCAGGAGGCTTTGGAGGTGCAGGCATCCCCACATCCCCACCATCTCTGCAGGGCATGGACACCCCTTTAACACCGCCAGGCTGACTGCCCTCCTATGCTCCACTCTGGGGCTCTGCTCTGGAGAACCATGTCTGAGAGGTTGTCCGTGCAGGCCACAAGCTTCCTGGGTTGTAATTTCTTGAATTTTCCAGAAGGCCTCCTGAAAAATCAGCATTTATCAGCTGATTCCCAGCTCTCTAGGATGCTCACATTTGTGCTGCAGTCAATAGCTTGGCTATTCCTCTTGGGGTGAGTGAGAAGTCCCATGCCTGCCCCTGGGAATTTCTGATGGTACTGGGAAGTTGTCAGGTTGCTTTTATTGCAACCTCATCCTCCAGCTCAGCTGCTGGGGGGATGCTCCAGTGCTTCCCCTCAGAGATAGGCTCCCAGGCAGGAATTTGGTTGAGATCCTCCTCACTGGATACAAGCAACAGAACTTGATTTACCTTTCCTGCCACATTCTTGCCTTCTCCAGCAAGCATTTTCTATCTTCACCACCTATCAGTCCTATAAACCCTCTGGCAGGTTTCCTATTCCTGATGTGTGAAGAAAAAAAACAGGACTTGCTTTTATGCGCATTACAAATTTCTCCTCAAACTCTTCTTACCCTCACCCCTTAGTGTATTTTACATCTAACCTGGCAGCGTTTAGGTTTTTCTCATTTGGCAACAGCTTGACTTTTAAAAGGATGTCTTGTTAGAGCTAATAATCTCCCTTACTCTGCTCTTTAGCTCTGCTTGCATTCCCCGTGGTCTTTCTCACTTATTTTTTGATAAGCAATATACATTTGCCCAGACCATCCAGTACCAGAGCCTTTAAACAGGCCTCCTGCCACCTGCAAAGATTTTGCTTTTCTTTTCCTGCCTAGGTTTCCTTTAAGAAGTTCTGTCATTTTTTCACAGTCACATCAGTGATTGATTTTTTTTAGCTTTTGTTGCCAAAAAAGAGAAAGAAACAGACAGAAAAATGTGTCAGTCCATGCTCATTTCCAGCAAAACCTGGTTTGTGCCTGCTGTGGTAGAGAAACAAAGACGGCTTTAAAGCACCAACAGCCCACCATGCTGACAGATGCTGAGGTGTGATCCAGGGGACTCTGTCCTGCTGGGGCCAGAAAGGTCCCTGTGGGCACGAAGTGAGACTCAGGCCATGCATCCAACTAGGTCCTCGCAGCCAGAAGGGACGGCCAGGCAGCCAGGAGATGCCTCAAAGCAAGCTCAAGACAAAGAAACCCTCCAGTTTTCCCAGGAATACCCTGCTGGGTGTTAAGCAGGAAAACCCACACTGGAGGATGTAATTGCTCTCATTTCACTTCTGACCTGGGTTTCCCATGAAGAGCAGGGCCAGGATGAGCCCAGCCTGGGCTCCTGCTGCCACGGCCGCCAGCACTCACCATGTCCTTGTTGTCAACGTCCAGGGGGCTGCTCTCTGACGGTGACTTCTCCTTCTCGCTTTGCTCTCCGTAGAAAAGTGATGTCAAGCTTTGCAGTGAGGGGAGAAGCGGAGGGGGTGAGGCAAGAGAGAAGCAGCAGACAGGAGAGGATGAGCACCCTTGGAGAAGTTCCTCCTAGGAGAGCAGCCTGGGAAATGCCTCCCCCCTCCCCAGTCCTGAACTGGGACTGGACCAGCGCCTACCACTGGGCTCAAGGCAGGGCCTGCACTCGCTGCCTCTGCACTGATGAGTCTCTGTGGTTTCTCTGTGGACCTTACCCATGGCTGGGTGGCTGGTGGAGAAACAGCCTTAGCTCCAGGACAAGAGCTGAAAGGGATTTCACATTCCACTGGTTTCAGCCCTCAAGTGAATCACAGTTGAAGGAATGTAATAAGTGATTGAATTTTAAGTCTTGATTGCCCTTTTGATCTCCATAGTGATGAGAATATTGCTTGTCCATTGCCAGACTCGGCTCCAGAGCCTGAGCCCAAGAAGAGCTGGAGAATTGAGAAGGCAGAAGAGGGGCTCTTACAGCATTTCCTCCCATGGGCTGCCCAGCCTTGCTGAGACCCCTCCTGTGCGCACCACCTCTGCAAACAAAGGTGCTCTGCTGCCTGCAGTGAACCATGCTCTGGTAGCCAGACAGCACAAACCGCCCATTAATCTGGTCTGGGCCCTGCTTTCACCAGGACACTGGTATTCTGGGGGGCATTCTGCACCTAGCCCAAAGGATGGGCCAGGCAAACTGCCCTGCTGACATGAGAAGCAGTGTTATTGCTGCATGGCTCCCTCTGCCTCCTTCACTGGCCAGCCCTGCTCATCCTGAGAGAGCAGCAGCAGGAGAGACAGCATCCCAGTCCCCACTCAAAAGCAGCTCTTGGGCCTCTGTCCTTCCCAGGATGGTGCCCTCCCTGTCATTGAGAGCACCGTCACCAGATGGTGCCTTCAAGAGGGAATCAATGCTGGCTTGGGTTTTCCCTCTCCCTGCGGTAGACAGTGCCTTTGCCTCCATGGGCAAGGGCAGCCTGGCCATTCCTAGTGGGAAGGAGGGACAGGAACACCTGCTGAGCTTCTCCATGGGCCATCTCTCAGTGCCAGCCCTCCTGACAGCCCTCTGGAAGAGGCTGGAGCCATCACCCGCAGTGGCCTCATGTCCTGCTCACCTATCATTGTCCATCAGCAATGCCAGGCGCCCATAGTCCCAAGCTGCTTTTCGAAGGCAGGAGAAGACCAGGAGGAGAAGCTGGAAGAGGAATGAAGAGAAAAGATAAAAGGTTTTGCTGGAGGGTTTCACCCCATGGGGTCTCCCCACATCCCTTCCTTCTGTTTTCCCACTCATGAGCCCAAACTTGTACAAAACTCTTGCCTCAAGCCAAACTGTCCCTGCTGTGTTATCTCACCACTGCTGCCCAAATGCCACCTGCTGTGGGCAAAGCCCTTGGTCCCCCACACTCACACCCCTTCACCTAAACAGCCAGGCACACCAGCACACACGCTGCACACGTGTGTGGGTCACACACCCATAACACGCATACTCGTGCTCAAAGCCAGTCTACAACACCCTAGCCAGGCCAGTCTATAACACCCCAGCCAGGCCCTGCAGTGCCCGTGGACATGGCACCTTCTTGGCGCGCTCACCAGCCAGAGGATGAAGTTGATGGCGAGCACGGTGGGCACGCCGCCGAACGGCAGCCCCTCCAGGACGGTGCTGCGGGAGCGGGCGCTGAAGCATTGCTCCTCCGTGCTGTTCACCAGGGCATCCAGGAAGCTGAGCACATCCAGCGAGGTGGGACCAGCACCATCAGGTGCTGGCTCCGCCGAGTACACGCTCTCCATCGGTGCTGTTGTGGGGCTCACCCTGCAACACAGGGGCAGGGATACGGATGGAGAAGCCTTCTCTTAAAAAGGCACCACGGCTCTTCCAGGTCCTCCAGCAAGGTCTGAGGAGCTCACTAAGGGCAGGGAGGGGAGAGGATGGGCTGGTGACCTTGGAACTTCTCCAGCCCCAGTCTCTCCCAGGGAGGGTGTGGGGGACACAGGGCAGGGGGTGCTGCTGAAGGAATCTCACAGCTACCCCATACCCTTCCCCCACTCTATTAAAACCCATGCTATTTCGTTGTCTCTGTCATACCTGAGACAGATCTCTCACCACCTCTGCCCCTCAGTCCTGGAAGCTGGGTTGAGTCATGGCCACCCTGGTGCAGTCAGCAGGCAGGAACGAGAAGCCAAAGCATTTGCTTGAGTTTCTGAGAATAAGAGCAATGATGACGTTAACCATCAAGTTAAGTGCATTAAGTGCTTGCTTCACTCCCCACAGCCAGATAACCTACTGCGTGTGGAACATCCTCCGGCCCTCCACTTTCCAGCATCACCATCTGTGTGACACAGGAGTCACGAGACCTTCCTTCCATCTTTCCACCAGAGCAGGATTGCTCCTTCCAAGACACCTTGAAGTCTTCAGAAGTATCAACTTCTCAAAACCCTAAATGCCAAAGTTCCCCCCATTTCCTCAGGAGCTGATATCACAGGCTACAGCCCTCACTGGTAGGAAACTCTTAAATGCCATTAATGTCCAAGACTGTGGCATGTTTCCAAAACCTTTCCTTACCACCATGCTTTAAGTAGGAGAGGATCCTCTCCAAACCTGCAGTGCCTGGACCCCTGGGAACAAGCACTCTAGAGCAGCCAGCATGAACCAGCACAGCTGTCACTGACGGGAATGTCACACACCTGCATGCAAGGACAGTGCTGCATGGCCATTGCCCTCACTTGAAGCGAGGAGAAGGAACCAGCATAGCAAACGCTAACAAAGATGGGCTGGGGACAACAGGGCCAGAGTGTCTCCTCCTCATGTGTATGCCATGTCTCCATGCCTTGGAGTCCCTGACACCATCTTCAGTCAGCTGCTCCTGGACCTCAACAGCCGTGTGGCCTTCAAAGGAGGACAGCTCTGACTGTGGTGAGACCAACCATGTCACTGGGGTGAGGGACACCCTGTACCTTGACAGGTCATCAAGGAGTTTTCAAAGTGGCAACCAGGTTGGGTCCCTAATGTCTCTTCCAAAAAGGCCCTGAGATAGGATGCCTAGTACTTTTTCGGTAGATAAACCCAGAGGGCTGAAGACCCTGCTTAGGGGAAGGTTAATGGGTGGAGAGGAAAAGATGGACAAGAAAACCTTGTCTTTGGAGGCCTCAAGCAACCAAACATAATTGGCCCAGTCCTAGACAGGGGCTTTTATCAGCTGACCTCCAAGGGGTCCCTTCCAGCCTCAGTTATTCTATGTCCCTATTCTCAGGGACTTTTGCTCCTGACAATAACATCTTCTGGACTGCCTGAAGTTTATAAGGAGTTACATGAGCGCCTTGCGCCACAGCCATGCTGAGCACAGTATATTGTGGACTGTGCAAAGGCCACGTGAAACCTCACCATGCCCATTAACACAAGTACACCCTGTGAGCTTTGTATTCAAGCCATTGGGCATTCATTCATCTCTTTCTTTTTAAATCTATATTCCAGCCACACCTGCAGCCCCTGAAGTCACCCAGCCACGGCTGATCCCTGCTGCAGGATGCTCACAGCCCACATGGACAGGATGGAGGAAGCAGAAGCCATGGTCTGATTAAGCAATGGTGGAGGATGCAAACAAAGACAGCCAACTCCTCCAGAGACCTGGAGATGCAAAGTGTCTGTGGTGTTTGTTGGTATTTTTCCCCATCAAGACCAAACAGGATCAACCTGCTCCAATACCAAAGGAAACCTGATTGAGAGGTCCCTGGGGAGCACAGAGCGAGCGTGCACAAAATGCCTCAGCTTAGAAAAGGAATCTTCCTGAGCTCTACACGGATTTGCTCTTGTTGTGAAACATTTACTTCTGCTGTGTCAGTGTGACAGATGGGAGACTACAGCAGCACATGGTTTTATGTGCACTGCTGTAGCCTCAACCTCCCTCTCTTAGACCGTGCAGCTTCTTGCTTGAGGACATCAGTCCTGTCCTAAAGCTCCTGAGGAGCCTGGACATCCCCACTCCATGGCTGAGCAGAGGCGATAGGACATGAGTGCTGGAGCAGGAGCGGACACACATTATACACCTGAGACACTGACTCTCCTTGACATTCTCCTCTGGGGAAAGGAAAGAAAAAAAGCTCTGACAGCCTGACAAATGCAATCAGGTGGGCACTGGGGATTCCCAAGGGATTCTCAACACAAACTCTCAAGAGGGTTGAAAGGCTTAAGAACTCATCTTGCAGTTTCTAAATTAAACACAGAGAGATGGTGGTGACTTGCTACTTTCTTCACTTCTGAAGCCTAAATTCCAGCCCCCTCAAAAAATCTCCACTGGAAGCCAGAGAGTGCCTGGGATGCTTGAACCAAGGCGATGAGCCCAGCAGAGCCTGAGGCTCACTCCATTCCAAGGTTACGCTGGCATCTGGCTCCCCACACAGATGCCTTGAAGGGATGTCAGAAGCCACTGAACTACAGGCATCAGGATCCCCAGGACATGCAGACCCTTGGCAGTCCCCCTTACTGTGCATATGGTGCAGTGTCACCTGTGGCATGGGCTTCAGTGTCTGCTGGAGATCCGTCCACGCAGCCTACAGCATCTTCAGTTGTCCCTAGCCATATATGTATTGATCTGGCCAGTACATGGTGTCTGGAGACATCATAGCCCAAGCTGGAGCGGTTGACCATTAGTGTGACTCCCAAAAGAATCATAGAATGTGCTGGGTTGGAAGGGACCTTTAAAGCTCATCCAGTCCAACTCCTGCAGTGAGCAGGGACAATGTTACCAGATCAGGTTGCTCAGAGCCCCATCAAGCCTGACCTTTAATATCTCCAGGGATGGGGCCTCCACCACCTCTCTGGGTAACCTGTTCCAGTGACCTACCACCCTCATATTGAAGAATCTTTTCCTAATATCCAACCTAAATCTACCCTTTTCTAGTTTAAAACTATTACCCCTCATCCTATCGCTACATGGCCTAGTGAACAGCTCTTCCCTAGGCATCCCAGTAGACTTGGGGCTGAAGTGTCATTCCTTCAGCCAGGTGTGAAATAAGGGATGGGCTGGTAAAGCCTCCCTGTAGTGCCCTAAGTCATGGCCTGCCTCGCTGTTGGGGTTGAGAGTCCTGTACTTCAAGTCCCAGCATGGCCCCACTGGGATAACAACCACTGAAGGAGGAACTTCAAGAAGGTGAGACCTGTGCGAAATGCATGGGCCACTGTCACAAGCAGCAGCCATGTGCCCCAGCCCGCCCGCCTCTCATTTGCCATCAGGTGGCTGTGAATCCACTGGGAACACCGGGCCCTCCGGCTGGGGTCAGTCCTTTCCTAGGGAGATGCTCTCAATCTGTTCTCCCCATGTGCACATCTCCCTTCCTCCCCTCCTCCCGTAAGCAGTAGAGCCATCGCCATCTGGCATTTTCAGCTGCTAAATAATTCACTGCCTTTTTGTTAACAAGGAGAGTGTCTCTGACCGAGGGAGCTGTTGGACATTCAGCAAACAAACAAGGAGACTTAGCAACCTCTGAGTCCCTTCTCTGCCACCACCACTCCACTATCCAGCAATAAGATCCTGCAGCCTGTTTCTAGGCACCATGTTCACACTCGTAGGAGGAACATCCTGTCGCAGGATGGCAGGGTGAGAGGGACTGTCACATGGATCAGTACGAGCTGTATTTCCTTATCAAGTCCTTGTTGCTGCCTCCTTCCCCCCATTAGCAGATATTTTGCTCCTGGCGGCCAAAAGCAATGGGTTCCTCCTGGAGATGGTGCCTGCATCTTATGCTTCAAACTCTCCTGTCCACAAACCTCCTAAACACAAGCATTCAACCACCCAAACTGGTTCTTGTCTCTCCACCCAGCACTACACAGAGAAATTTTAGGAGCAAAAAAGTCCTGAAGCCACTGGCCCAGCTATGTCCCCTCTCTCTTAGGTGCCTCCACTTCTGCTGCCTGAAGGAGCGATCACGCTGTGCTCAGTCCTGAAACACAGCCCTTGAGGCAAGTCACAGCTCCTGTGAAGCTGATCTCAAGCTAACTGTCCTGCCTTTTCCCTGGTCCCTCCACTCCCAGATACCCATGGAAACCCACCTCCAAATACCCAAACTGGTACTTTTCTAGACTGTTTGTTCCAGCTAATCCCACCTTTTATGGTGCTGCTCTTAGAAAAGCTTATGCAAATTATATAGCTGCAGCCTTACCATTAAAATAACCATTGGGAACAACCAGCTAAAAGTAAATCATGTAAATGTTCTAGGAACAGCACATGCAGCAGAAACAGAGAGAGATTTCTGCTCATGTGCTACAGGAACATCTTGAACCCAGACTCGTAGGATATGTTCAACCTCCCTCCAACCGGAGAAGATGATACCTTACTTGATATACAGAGCAAGAGATCACATGGACACTGTAGGTCAGTTTTAAAGTCACTGTTAAAACACCTGAGCTAAATTTTCACACCAAACATATTAAATAATTCAGTACTGTGCAATACTCTGGTGACAGCACTCTGTGATTGTACCTTAAAGCTCCAAATGAACCCCACAGCATCGCCAAACCAGATCCTATTCCCAGCTATACCACTGTCATTGTGCTTTTCTCAATCTTTAATGGCCAGAGGAGAAAGTATTATTGTGAATAACAGAGCTGAGTGGGTGCCTCCACCTCCAGAAGGTGTTGGGAGAGCTCCCCATCAGCTGTGTATGAGGCACTGCCTCCAGATGCCAACCACAGACAAGTGTCCCTCGGAGCAGCTGCTGTCCTGGAGGAGCAAGAGCGACGGGCAAGTCAGGAAACACAGGAGTGGGCAGGGCTGCAGCTGGGAAAACAAAGCAGT